ATATATACATATATATATGTTTTCTTTAGTCTTATCTGCTATCAAGTCTTATCTTGTTTTATATCAGATGTCTTGTATCAGGTGTTACCCTTTTTTTATATACTTACACAACTGCTTCATAATGCTTTTGCCATTAGCACAATGGGCAAATATTACTTGAGTATTTACACAGATAAAATGTCATGTAACGAACCGCCAACAAAACATTTCATATTTATAGAATGTTGTTACTTTGCGTCATAAGAAATATTTCACTTTTCAAGGATAAGTAATGATGAACTTGTTATTCCTTATCTTTGTATTTATGACGATTACTTAATTAATAATTTAAACTAATTTCAAGTAATATAATTGCGCTTTTATTACACCATAGAACTTGGAAGGAAATGTCTTGGAGATTGCTATCAAGTGTTGTCAACGCCAAATACAAGCAAATAAAATCGCATCAATCAATAGCAGCAATAGCTCTCATGTCCCACCACAAGTGACTTCTACTGTTTCGGTAATTAAATGCATTGTCTTATCAGGGTCATCAATATCTAATCGAATTAATATCTTCAATCTCATTGCAGACCCCTGCGCCGCAAGTGCCAGTGAATTCAACATCTCCGCAAACGTTACAAAATCGTAAACCGCATCGAAATCTGATGTCTACTGGACGTCCAAGAGGACGTCCGCCTAACGTTAACAAATATTTGCAACATGCTCTGCAACAAAGTGGCAACATAATGAATCAGTTTGGTTCCAAAAGTAACTTTACGAATTACCTGGGTGCATCCGGACCAAATCGTCCTATGCTGAATCCTTACTTTATGAACCCATTGGTCGATGCGAATATGTTATCGGCTTTACTCGCCAGCGGATTAAGCAGTAATATGATGGATCCCCTGGCGGCTATGTCTTATTTAAATCAAGTAGGAAGTTATCAAGACTTTCTCAGACAGTATCAGAACAACTTGTCGTCATTAACCAATCTTGCTAGCGGCCTAAACAATCCTGGTACCACTATGACCGGCATCAGCAATGTTTCGACAATGAGTACATCTAGCTCGAATATTAATACTTCGAGTAACATCACTAATTTAAGTAATATAAAAGGTTCTTTAGACCCTATGACAGCGTCAGTGCAACAATTATTGAGTTTAAGTAGTTCTACAGCGTCAACCTCGCGACCCACTCCTATGTACCATCAAGCAACGACGGCCAAGACGACTGGCACGACTATGTCATTGACGAAAGACCGACCTAACATATCTATAACGCCAGTTTCCACTTCAATGAGCCAGCAAACTCATCTTAAGACGAAACAGCCCAGTAAGCAACCAAGCTCGCAGACCGAACCGGTGTTACCCGTCCACATTCCTAAATCGCTTCAGATATCGCCAACGAAACCATTGCACACATCCAACACAACAGCACAGGTGTCCCTGCTGAAGCCATCTATTATGCAACAAGTGAAAAGCAGTCCGCCGAAACAAATGACCGCGCCACAAATACGGGTTTCGAAATCGTTAACGGAACCGCAACCCGCGCATAACCCGTCGCTGTCGCATTCGCCTTTGAAAAATAGCGGAAGCACCGTGACGACGAATCCGACTGTAGCTATGCCGCACGTCGCTCATCCGTCTATGGCCGCACCGGTAATCAACATGAAACAGCAACAAGCATTGCCCATGAACTTACCGCGACCCGGTACGTCGTTGCAGCATAAATTACTATCGAAGAAAAATTCCCAACGACCTTATTCGGCACAAACGAACATGCCAAATCATCCCGTGAGAAAGGCAAAGTCAACGGCCAAAACGACGGCGATGCCAGTGCCGATGTCTGGCAATTTTCCAAATTTACTAAACGCAATGCCACAAGCGGGTTCGGCTGCGATATCGCAACCACCTTTTATTCCTCCGGAATTAAGCGGCATCTCAGTAAATCCCGTTGGTTCGCAGCACGGCATCAAAACTGCCGCAAGCGCAAAATATCACAGCTATAAAAAAACAGTGAGTAAGCCAAAACCACCTACGGCGATGGAAGTACCGAGTTCATTGCCCGCTTCATTCCCTCCGGGCAGTTCGGTCGAGGCACTTTCAATGCTGTCGCAATTACAACAGCACTCACACTTGGAAATCATACCGCAACAGAAGACATCATTAAAACCAAGCGTGGATTATTCAAAAACTCTCTCTTCCGTGAATGTAGTACCACCGAAGATTTCGGAGACTTTAAGACCATCAACAACCGCTGATTGTATATCCATGTACGACATATCTAGAGGAAAAACAACTAATGTTCCCAGTAAAAAGACACAAGACAAACTCGTTACTGATAATGTCGAGATTATAACATTGGATGATTGAGACATCAATGTGCGGGGGTTTATTTTACATATGCAATTATTTTGTAATGTAAATTTTTTTTTCAAAGATAATTTACTAAATTGGCTCAATATGATATGAATCATTAATTAATTCTTTGCATTGAAATGACAAATTACATATATAATTGCAATTATATTTATATATTATGTATTTAATAAGTTTTTTTTTATAAATCTGCATTTGAATTAGAATTTATCCAATTATATCATAAAATCGTCCACAGAATTTCAATGCAATGAATTGATAGAGTTAATGTGGCTAATTCATATAATTTATTAAATTTTTCTTTAAAATTTTTGTATTAAAGTATAAATTATAGAATTATATGTGATAAAAATATTAAAAATATTTTTACTTTTGTACATAGAAATAGTACATTATCAAAAATTTTTGGTTGCGATATAAAAATAATTTATTAGTTTATTTTCTAATGTTTAATTAATGTTATTGTATTAATCTAATTATATTACTAATATTTTTTGATTAGAGGATTATATATATGCATAAAATTCTAAATGTAAATTTATATATTACAATTAATCTTTTTATTTATAATCTTATAATTAGAAGGATATATAATGAAACTTTATTACATACATTATTTACATTTACGTATAACATTTATAGTTACGAAGTAACCAATTTATATAGATAATTTAGAAAACTTTATATTTATTTATTTGATTACAAGTTTTTATTATATACAATTAAAAATATAGTTTAATTATTTAATTATTTTGTTTATAGCAAATGAAATAATACGTTGTTTTCTCTATAATAATTCTACTAAGATATCTCTGCATAAGGAAACGTTATTTTTCTACCACATGTACTTGATAATGATGACACTTTTTTCTACATGTACAATAATCATGCGTAATTAGCTTCAGTAAACTTGAAAGTAAACTTGAAACTTTTTTAAAAACGATTTGAGCGTGTAACTTACCATTAATATTAAAAGAACATTTGGAACTAAGAATGAACGACTATTTATATATTTTGTTTTATTAATCATTCTATTTTTTTACATATTTTAGATCATAAAGTTATATGACAATAAAATAACAATAATTATTTGTGATAGCTATCAAAAGACTGGTTGTGCAATTTCTAATGCTAAAGGAATATTTTCCAACAGTATGTTCAAACATTTTTATTCAACAATATAAAATTTAAGAATATATACGAAGAATATATAAATTGAACATATAAATTTTCACAAGTAATATATAATTATAATTCAAAGTTTTCATGTTGATTTTTTGATTAATCATTTAGTTTGCTTTTAGTCCATCACAAATGAATTTGCGAGAATTCCGCGAACTCCTAAGCCTTTCACCGCAAATACCGCACCGGCATAAGGAGTCGCTTTTCGTTGTTCTGAACTTAGATTGTGGCCCGATGTAGTTACGTATAGGATGTCAAGGAGCGAACCGCCGAATGTAACACTGGATACGTTTTCAGCTGGAAGCTTAACTTTACTTAAAACTTTTCCTGTTTTCGGATCCACCTGGATGACCTACAAAAATAATTTTTATGTATTACAAAGCTAATAATTTTGTATAAATACTTCAGTTGCCATATATATATATATATATTATAGATTATTAAATTTATTTATGGTATGTTTAATAAATTAAATGACATCACTTGAGATTAATACTAAAAAAATTTTTAATTTTACAGAAAGAGGAACATTTTAAGTTAGTCAAATTTCAAAAGAGATATTCACTTTTGCCGAAATGCTATTTTCAAAGAATAATAATGTTTTTTTCTTTGATGGAAGTTTACTTCTAATGAAATTTGAATTTAATTCGAGATTCTATAATAATATCACAGTATATAATGTCATAGTAATTCATCAAATTTTAAATTATCTTATATACTCACATGATGTCCACCAAATAGTGCTATCCAAAGATTACCATCTGCATCTATAGTCATTCCGTCAGGTACTCCTTGGAAGTTTGTTGTGTTAAGGTCAAATACAATCCTCTTGTTACCTAAAATATAAAACATAAAATCTTCAAATTTTATATTTCATAGTTTGTAATTATTTTTATTTATTTTTAGTTATATATGATTTATGCTTGCACACTTACAATAATTTTAAATAGAGAAGTTAATGAAAATAAATAAAAGCTTACAAATCATCCCATTATACGGTTGATAATCGTACGCTGCGACTTGTCGCGTGGGTGAGTCAATATAATAAAAGGTATTATCTTCCATATTCCACGCTAATCCATTACTTATTGAAACGGGTGATTCTTCTTTTTCAGGTTTAAGATCGTCATCAACGCGATATAACGTTCCCTGATTAGGAAGAACCATTCCCTTGGTTTCTATACCCATAGTACCTGTAAAATTATAATAAATATTAATCATTACGAGTTAAACAAACTGTATTTATTAACTCTTAATCACATAGTTTTCAGTTTACCGATCCAAAGTCTTCCGGATGAATCAACCTTTCCATCATTGGTTCTTGTTTGCGCCTGCTCGGAATCAAGGGAGCACAACACTTTGACTGGTACTTCCGATTCATCTTCGTCTCCGTCCCATGTAACAAGAACAACATCTTTCCCCACACCTGCTATCAGTTGATCAATAGTATCCTCCACAGGTATTACGACTCCAACAGTGCCTTCATCTGAAAGAGCATTATGGAATTTTTTTAAATTATGGAAATTCTCCCGATAGCAAAATGCAGTTTGCTGGCAGATTGGCAGCAAATTCAATTAGATTTTGATTGCAAATCCATAACAATCTATATTCGCATTAAGCTTAGAATTACGAATAAAGCCCGCTGACATGCTATGTCAATAAAAATTAAACAGGAAGATCTGTCAATCTGCATTGCTAAATCGTTACAGACTCTGCTCGATTTTTGCCGCCAACCTGCTCGTATTGTCTTTAGCAGGTTCTGTCATATTTCTGACAGCAATTTGACAGCATGATAAGATTAGATCAAAACAAATCCTATGTTGAATTTATTGCCTTCCTAACAAATCTTCAAAAATTTGCAGGCTCTGTCCAAAATTTGTTTGCACAAGTTTGGGTCAATGGAACAACAACAATACTAATAAAGAAAAAATATAATAATATATGATCTTACTTATGCGTGCACTAGTCACAACACCTGTCGCAGGATCTAATCTGCGAATGTATTGATTGTATACATCAACGAAATACAATTTTTGAGTACGGTGGTCCCAATGAGGTCCTTCGGAAAGGCCATAAACGTCTGTCACCCTTTCGACTTCTACATTTTCTTGCCTGCAAACAGATGACGATACTCATATGTACATTTTGTAAAGCTTAAAATATGTTAATTATTATAACTTATTAGTGACCAGTTGTGCTCTTCCTTTACAAGTAAATGTATCATAATATTCTTGATTTCTATGCTCATACTGACCATCATCTTTTTCAATTGCAGTTCTTTTTAATTAAATCTCTTCAATCGATGAAGTTATGTAAAGTTCAACGAAAATGTTATCAGTATTCAAACAAGATAGAACATCGATGGAGAAAAAATTTGGAATAACTTGTGACACGATATGTTAACGTACACAAAGATGATACAAGCACAGTTATTCTTTCCGACAACATCTGCACTTTCTGTACTCAAAATAGAACAATAAAAACGAAGAATATGGAGAAAAAAAAGGAAAAAGATTGCGAAAGAATTCAATTGGACAAAACAGACATATGTTTAGTTTCTCTCATATTATGTGCATGTATCTTCTGCAATTATTCCATATTCTTACATTCTTCATTTTTATTACAGAAATGAGATGCACAAAGTGTAAAGAAAAAAACGGATCACAAATTATGAAACACAAATTATATAACAAGTCTATATTTACGTTGCCATCATCTTCGGTTAATGTTCACTTAGAACCAACTCTGAACAACTGGGAATCGAATTTGTTATCGAGAAGAGGACAAATCGTCGCAATGCGGATGAGCGACAGCGAATGCTCGAGAACGAGCTCAAGCGAGTAAATTAAACTCGTGAGGACGGTTGATCGTTCTTATTATGTCAAATGATCCCTAATCATTCCGACAACAACAGTACTCAGCGATAGAAAATATAACGACAGCTATTTAATTATAATCAAATAATGCTAACGATAAAATTATTTTTTTGCTTTCCAGTCAAAGGGTTATCATGATACACGCATTTGCGAAATCTCTCAGGATGATTGCAAATTAACTTAGCAAAATCGCCAAAATATTTAATTTATATATTTTGTTATCCTTGTGATTTTTAATTTTTATATCCAAATAATAATTAATTAATGATTTTTATGTTGCTTGACAAAGTTAATTAAGATTTTTAGTCAGAATTATTTCTAATTGTTAATTTATTTTAAGCAAATCTTTAATTTAGTTTTTTTTAAATACATATTTTTTCTGATTGCAGGATATTTTTTAAAAAATTTGTTCAAAATAGAAACTTCACGTTACAATTGCTAAAAATGGCCGAATACTCAATAAATGAAATTATTGTTTGTTGATACTATTTTTATGACGAAAGTCGATCGGATTATTCCAGAATGATATAACTATCATGCTCGTTTTTCACAAAAACATTCTGACCGAAGTAGGATCTACAATCTATCGACGAAAAAATTTTTGTGAGAATTGTATTGATATTAATTAACTAACTTCATTTTTGTCACCAATGTAAATTAACTTTGATCCCGCCTTAATTTACTCTTTATCTTCTTTTAATTTATAGAACTATATAAAGATAAAAAATAAATTTAAAAGATCAAAATTAATCTATATTAATAGAAATGGAGATAAATGATCAAACAATAATTGTATTGGTTGCTGTTAATCTTCAAATTTGCATTGCACAACAACTCAAGCAGGACACACATACACACAACAGAAAAGATTTAGAATTATTAAATACTACGGGAATAACAAATTGTGGGATTCTTATTTCTGCTAACACAAATAAGGTGTTTATAATTGTGTGATAATTTAAGTTCGAGTTAATTCCAAGATCAAAAGACATGATAAGCACAATTGCCTAATATCTTAATAATTCATGACAACTCAATGCAGTCTGATGAAACGGACTTAAATTAGCTAGATTTAATTAACGGACAGCTCAAGACAGTCATTTAATTTAGTTCGGTTTATCGAATCTGGTTTATTGACTCTCAATTGATAAAATAGATAAAAAAAAGGCAGATAAAAAAGATAAAAAAAGTAAAAGAAGATTTATTGGACAACATTGAGTTCAATAAAGAAAATATTAGTTAAAAAAGTACAGTTGTAACCATCATATCTTTCAATTTTAATGAACTAACTCGAACTTAAATTATCATAAATACCCATATACATAAAGTAAAAAAAGATTTATAACTAGTGTTTTAAAAACATTTCGATGTCGGTTACAAAAACATACCATGAAAAATATGAGTTTCCATTTAAGAAAACTAAGATTTTTTTTAGATTTTAATTAGAACTAAGAATGATTCTCGATATAAATACAATTAAAAAATTAGGGCAACTGAAAATCCGATAAGAAGTACGAAAATATATACTTTTAGCAATTTATTAATATAAAAATTCACTAAACGTTTCAATTCGAGCCATTTTCAATGGTACATATGATGATCGTATATTTTCAGTTTCTCTAATTTTTTAATTTTATTTTTAGATCTTTTTAGATGTTCAGTTTTTTATAGTTTCCTTAATACTAAATAAATTTTATTTAAATAAATTTTTTCTAAAACGTTTTTCAATGATACGTGTCATTTACAAGATATTCTGGGACAATTAGAATGAGACACTCTTTGTATATAAATTACTTTCTTATCTATTCGATTATTTAAAATAACTTAAATGTTCTAGATGTCATAAATATTTAGAGAGCGGACGTCAAAAATTCAGTCAGCAAATTTTAAAAAGTTAACATTAGATACAAGCAGTGATGTTTATACAGACAGAAAAGCGAGAAAGGAAAGTGTGAAATTATCCATATGCTTATCAGGTAAAAATAAAAATCTAATGCTTTTTAAAAATTCATGTTCACACGACAACTGCGATTTGTGCAGAATTACAGAAAAAATTCTATTATTTATAGAATGTCGCAGTTTTTCTTTTAAAAAGGTATTTGCAATCAAAATGTACATATCTTTCGATAATGATTATTATTCTTGTTCATTATAATACATCTTTATGAATAAGTTTTAATTGATTAGTTTTATTTTTTCCGTTTCTAATTATAAATATTTCCAGGAAGACAGAGATGGTTACGCATTTTAACTAGCTTCAGCCAAAGGTTTTTTTATATAAACATTTTTGTACACAGTTAGCATACCTTGATTATAAATTGACTAGATTAAAACAGAATTTGTCAGCAGAATTGAAGCTTTGGATGCTGTCTCATCACACAGGATGTCACACGCCTTAACACCGTTATATTATTTTTAACATTTTTAATGGTATCTATAAAAATTTATTCAGTTTTTGTTTCTAATTGTTGCGACCGGAGGGAATATTGCGTAGAACACGACGTGTTAATATCAATTTCCTTTTATTAAACGAGCGTGCGTGATACCGCAGCTAATTTGTGGATGGATGCAATGTCCTTTCACTTACCCATGAACGAGGGCGACGAGTACGCACACCAAAAACGTGTACTTATAAATTACTCTTCTCATGACGTTGTGGTTTGTCGTAGTGTCCGATTGGAAAGGAAGGCTCTCTCAGGCCTGAGAAGAAACTGAGTAAAGCCTAAACGCACCGGCTTACTTCTTATATATGAAAACGCTCCTACCTTTATCAGTTAGATCGAAACCTGCGGTGGACTGTCATGGACAATAATTAATAGGAGATAATGCATATTGATCGGGACATT